GACACACACACACACACACACACACACACACACACACACACACACACACACACACATAAATCGTCCGAGATTATAATATATGCAGTAAAAAATTAAAATTATTAATGATTATACATTTGTAGAATTGATTGATCATAAAATTGAAGAAGTTATATAAAGTTTTGCTTAATTAAAAAAATATTTTTATTATTCTGACGTAGGTTTAATAAAAAAATAATAAAAAATATTATAGTATAGTAGTATAATAATCGAAAAATAAATGAGAGATGAATCGCAGGATCAAAAGATTAATTTCCATATTGTTCATAAATGGTTACAGAGAGACGTATAATAATGCGTTATAATAAGCTGTAATATGATTATTTTATATCAAAATGATATGTCAATAACATAATAAGTTACACGACACATCGATAGGTATACCGACTTACGCGACTTTCACTTTCAACTTTTCAATCGCCACTGTTAAACATCCCCATGATGATTAGGCATCACTCTCGAGAATTTTTATCAGAGAAAATTCGCGGTTTTATAAATGTATATATTTATCAAAAATTGATATGAAATAGCGATAATAAACAAGCCGTGTCGCGTCACCAAGTGTAAAAGTAGATGGAATTGAAATCGTTGCCAAATTTGCAAGGAAACATCGGATTTGCAATCCGAGGAGTAGCGTACTGCCAACTGCAGTTGCGGAAGGGTGTGCACCTACTCCTGTGCAGGAATTCGCGCAGCTGCAACCCCTAGCGAGTGGACGGAGCTTGCGCGTGAAAGGGGGTGGCTGAAGAAAGGGAGGATGGTGAAAAAGACGAGAACACCGGAGTCCTTACAGAGCGAAGCATTATTCTCTTATTTTTTTTTACTTGACAAACACTTTTATCATTCGTATCTCCTGTTTGCTTAATTATGAAAAGTAGCTGGTTAAAATAAAGGGGACAAAATGGAGAGAAAAGAAACTTTTCGAGTTTTTTAATTAATAATTAATAATAAGATACTTAAGACGTTTCGCACTTTACGATTTTGATGTTTGCATAACTGGAAAAATATCAAAATTATAGAAATGTATTATTAATGTATTATAGATTCTTTGTTAAAAATTTCAAAATCACGTGATTATATGTTTTTTGCCATGCGACTATATAATTATAACATGTTAATAATAGAATGTTAAAAAATGCAGTACAAAAAATTTTTGATTTTTTTAATATTAAAAAAAAAAATATGTACATAGATGACGGTTGAATTTGCAATGCATTTTGCAAATAATGAATCGTGCAAATTAATTGTCAGAATTCATTAAGCAAGCTATCATATATGGGATAGTTGCAAAAAACATAAGTACTTTTCCAGGAGTGCGCCACGTCGTGTTCATTCGATCGATCGCACGAGACTCCATTGTACACGGTGACTACAACACACGTGCTGTTAGTCCCACATATAGTATGATGATTAGCGAACTAACCACAATTACAATTAAACAAAATAATAAAATTATAATTTTCTTTGGCCTTTTTTATAAATAGCAGAATACTATGTCAGGCTCCTTTCTTTTGATAAATTTTCAACTATTCTTACCTTTGAAAACATGAAGGGATATTTACAATTTTTTACTATCATTAATGCTAAATATATCTATATCTTTTTAGCCCAAGAAACGTAAAAATAAATTATATATAAAAGACCAAGGGTTTGATTTATAATGAGAATTTCGAGCGAAGAGCGAATTAAGCTCATAATTGAGTCTTTCTGTTGAAATAAAATATTTCTGAAGCTAATTCACTAATTTTATTATTTATTATTATAAATTCTTGTTCGTGCAGACGATATCTTCAACATTTGAAGGCTAACTGCGCAGTCAATAACAAAAATAACATTAAATCTTTGCTATGGAAAATCGTTGACCTCAAACTCGAGGAATAAGATACGATCATTAAAATAGCACGTGACTGAACCGTCTGATCTCAAAACTGGAGCTGATATTTTGTTCGAGCTCCTCTCAAGCGCTCATGGTTCATTCACTATTTCCAAATTTATAACGAGTCAAAATTTCGATGATTCTCGAGAACTATTTGCGTATCGGAAGCACTAAGAGATTGACATTTAACCAAGGCATTTTATCGTTCCGATTCGTAAACACTACGTAAATACTACGATCACTGACAGCCACTGCGACATTTGTAATCATGTTTCGGCGTAGGAGGAAACGGAACTTGATGGCACCCGATATTCCTCGATAAGTTCGTTAGGATTACCTGAAAGTTCGCACACCTGCCGGCGATGCATCCTCGCGTTGCGTCGCGTCGCGATGCGTCGCGACGCCAACGACAGAAGGGCGCGGCGCGCACAAAAGAGGATTCCGGCCGGCGACACGCCGGTCCTACGCCGGAAAATCAAAGGAAGCCGGCTTATCAGCGACGGCAATGCGCGCGCACTCGCTCTCCATGGGGAAGCAATCCCTCCCGATTAAACCTGATTTTCAATTTGGATGGACATATGGGGTGTCTCGGAAGACGTTAATTTATGGGCACGGTACTCCTTCTCCGCATCCTTTTTTTTTGCTACATAAATTTAACTTAATTAATCTGATAAATTGTTACTGATAATTAATTTTACAGAAGATTCTAAATTCTCGGAATTGCAAATCTGCATATTTTATTAAAATTCCTTCGAAAAGAATTATTATTATAAGGGAAATTAAGGAAAGTGAGAATAAAGAGAAAACTTGAGGTAGATATGCCGATTTATTCAAATCATTTGCCTACCTGAAAGTTTCGCCAAATTGCAACATTAATATCTCGTAAATTAATATTTAATTGTGATCCCTAAATCAAAACGCAATGATCATGCGTAAAATGCGTAAAAATAGCATTCGTACAGCGGAATTAATTCGCCGTAAGTGTTATCTCTCCAGATATCGCTAAAGTTTATTTTTTTGAAGCGTACTCCCCATCATACAATAAATAAATTCTTCGAAAGTTTCAGATCTGTTATAAAATGTTCTTTTGATGCAAAGTGAAAAAAGATCCTTTTTATCAATAATAATGCGAGTATATTCAGTATATTCAGTAATAATAAATTATATTTTTAAATAATATATGTCTGAAGAAAATTTGATTTTCGGCGAAATAATAGGCGTACGAGTGCCTCCTCTGCCGCGCATAAATATTATTTAACATAAAACGTTATGAGAATAAGAAAAAAAATTAAACAATAAAAGCGACCGGCGCGATGTAAATACGAACGCGTCGTAAGTACGAATAACAAAATTTCCTAATAAATGAAAAAGAGAAAGAAATGCACAAGATTTGTCTTTCATGATGAATTAATGTTTCGATTTGTTTAATGAGACGATAGAAATGCGCTAATAGTTGACGATACGATCCATCCTCGTATACTTACAGCAAGCAATCAGCAACATTCGAGTTCCGTAACAATAATAAGAAATAATAATGATAATAATCATAATGATCGTCCATCGTAATAATAATAATAATAATAATAATAATAATAATAATAATAATAATAATCGCCATCATCATTTTCATTAACGATATGTTAGCCTAGTCCGTATAAACACAGCGACATCGAAACATCGTTTATATTATGTGTAGAAATTAATTCATATTTATGTATATAACATACATATATATAATATATATATAAAACATTTAGCAAAAAAATCAACAGTTACTTAAAACATCTATCTTTCCACTCTCTTTTCTCTCTCCAAATCTCTCTCTCTCTCGCTTTTTCTCTTTCACTCTCATTGCATCTTTCTCATATACACATTCTTTTTTTTCGCACCGATTTATAGACGACATGTCACCCGTTTTCAATTATCAGATTAATAATTAAATAAGAAGGCTGACGCAACCAATTTCGCAGGATTTTTTATTCTTACTTCTCACAAGATCTATATTTAATTCGCAATCAAATATAGATTTAATTTTTCCTAAGTTTGAGCTATTAAAAAATTATTAATTACGATTTGCAATATTTTTTATTGAGATTAAAATATTGTTCGACTCTTTATCAGCAAATTCTTGCTCTTCTGATCATTCCTGTATTCGATTTCCAATATGTCATATATGTGTTTTGAATAAGATTCTACAAAAACGAGCTTCCTTCCACAAGATATATACAACTCCAACATTATAAAAAAACAAATCAGTCGATGACTTCGATTACATATGGAAATATTTTCGTGGAAGAAAATTGTATCGAGGCAGTGGCACAACATCGATGTAACAATAATCAGGATTTCTTAAGTACTATTCGTGATTTCGCAATGTCTTCACTACTTTTAGATTAGAACAAATGACTGATTTCTAATTGATTTTTTGCTGCAAAATAATTCGCAATGCTAAATGTGGACATTTTCCAAATAGTAATAATTTATCTTCCTATAAATTCCTATAAAGTTATTAATCAGGTTAAAACTTAGTCTTAACGTTTTAATAATTTGCGATTATAATTCGAAATTTTCTTCATCAATATTAGAATCGTAAAAACTATTGTGTTTATTAATTTTCAGTCTGTAACTACAAGAAAATTTTTTATTATTTTATACACCTTTTTTGAAAGAAAAAGAATTTTTATATCTGCATTTAATTAATCAATATTTTTAAGAATCGAAATTCATTCAAGCTGTTGTAAAGTTGCTTTATAATTATCGTTGCTCGAAAATCAAACGATCGATTGTTTAATTACACGGCAGTGTTGGCACAAAGCGTAAACATTGGCTGTTTTTGTTGGAGAAGAAGAAAAATTTACATTTTAAATACAGTCCTAAGCACACGCAAATAAAGCATTTTTGTCTAACTAAATCTGCAACTTGAATCATTATGGCGATCGTCGAAAATAATTGTTGATAATTATTACCAATTTTTACACACTCCACAATTCACATATAAATTGTTGCTTTTTTTCATATTGAAAGAAAAACTAAAAACGCGACTAATAGAAATTAAAAACTAAAAATTGTGTAATAGTAGATACATTATATATATATATATATATATATATATATATATATATGTAGTATATATATATATATAATATGTATATATATATATATATATATAATGTGTATATATATATACATATATAATGTATATATATATATACACACACATACACATATACACACACAGATATATTTTTAATTTTTATGTACATATCAAATCTGAAAAATATATCATGTGTAATAAACATATATTATTATATACAGGTAAACTGTAATGCAGTCTGAGACAATCGCGCAATTTCAGATGTACAATAATTATTAATTTTAATTATTTGCCAGTCTCACATTATTCGAGACGTGAGACTTGGGTAGGATTTGAAAAATTAATTAATAAAAAAATTTCACAGAGAGTACTTATGATTAGTCTAAAAATATCTATAGTAAGATTTTTATGCGCTACCGTCCTTTTGGTAAGCCAAAGACAGAAAAGCCAGTGAAGATGGCAGTAAACATTCGCAATTCGATTCGCTGGAAGCCAGTCAATTATGTAAATATTTTATTGAAGAGAAATAAAAACTTATATTTAACAAATATCGAAGACTGCACCAGATTTACCATAACGCTATTCAAACTATTGCTCTATTAGATATAAAGATGTCTCAATACTGTAAATAAAAACTACAGTTGCATTAAAATAACAAAAATAATTCTAAAAAATTGTTAACAATATAATACAAATTATAATTTTTAGCATGTAACTGTAGAAAAATATTAGTCAAAAAATATAATATATGTATGTCAGCGTGACTGGCTCCAAGCGATTAATGGCGAGGCAGATGGCTGACAAAACATCGATCAATAACTATTTCATTAGCGCTAATGGGTATGTACAAAATTTCATATTTTACATGAGAATCCTGACTCGTTCTCTAATTCAAGCGGAAAAGTCACTCTCAGTTAATCTCTACATATGACATAAGAGCGTGATCTTTTCGAACTTTAGTCATTATCACTAACAGCAATAGTTATCACAATGAAAAAGCGTACGTCGAGATCAGTATTAGAAATTTAAAAAATTGCGAGTTTATTATGTTTCAGATGATCAAAATAAAAAATTTCAGGATTGCAATTAAAAATTATAATAATTTAAGATTAATAAAATTTATCATAAAAATCATAATATAAAAATAAAATATTGTGCGAGAAACATAAATCAATAAAACTATTAAGTTCGAAGATGTTATCGATCGACTCTCGTGCCATGAGCACTTTCACTCATCATGCCGACGAATGTTTATTAATAAGGAATGGTTGTTGGAGAACTTCCCTTAGGAAAGGACGTTGACTTCGCGGGGCGAACCGCAAACGTTTAATACACTGCTAGTTGAGTTAGGCGTGATTTGACTTCGGGCTTCGTTTTGAGCCTGTCGTATCGCCTCTTTGTAGGGACCGCGTTTTTTCTTGTTATACCGCGTCTGTAATCAGATTCACAATTGTTATCGATAAATTTCAAAAAGTTGTTACGTTATTATCACCATGATAGAATCAGAGATAATTTAAAAATTTACGTTTTCTGTCATTTGAAATAGTTTTTACTTGTTACTTTTATTATTTATCTGTTTTATTTATTTCTATTATTATTCGTAATTATTTAAAGTAGAACATACCTTGAAGGTTTCCAGAAAGGGACTTAACTGATCACAGGACATCAATGAACTTGTTGATGACCCATACCAAGCTACGTGAGCTTGAGGACCTGATGAAGTACCATCTTCCTTACAAGATACTGTAATACTTAAAACCTACGCATAATAAAATTTGATAATAGCTACATGATGATTGTAACTCATAATTTTTCATATTAAAGGATTGAGGTAAGATAGAAAAATCAATACTTCAAACGTAATCATCAATTCTTCAAAAACACTTTTCGTACCTTGCCGGGCCACCAAGGAAAACCATGGATTTTGCCCCATACAACGTCGCCAACATCCATCCGTCTGCCACTAGCCGTAAGGCAGTGAGCCACAGAGGTAGCGGCCAGACGCATGACCAGAGGATGCGACTGATGGGGTGGAAAATCCGGCGCGGTCTCCACTTCCGGTTCGTGTTCGCTTAATTCGTCACTACTTCCACCGGAACTCTTGAAGCCAGAAGACGCGTTGCTCACAGGATAATCGCAACGCGCGTACGCATTCGTATTCAGCCTCTTCAGGGATATCGACAGCTTCTGTTTTAGGCACTGTTCTTTGATGGCTCTATAGGATTCACCGCCACCTGGCAAGACATTCCAGTTATGTTGCTGCGGTTGTTGTTCCTGTTGCTCTCGATGCTCCGCAGAATCCAAACAAGATTGCTCAGATTGCAATTGTTCCTGTTGTTCTTGTTGTTGTTGCTGTTGCTGACTCTTGTGCTTTCTACCTTCCTTATGCTTCTTTTTATGCTTTACCTTGTGCTTTCGACGGTGATATGAGAGAGGGTCGTACGTGGGGTTGTATCTAGACAAATTGAAATAATGATAAAGCCTCGAAAAAAATACATTTTCAATGAAAAATAATTTAATTTGTGCAAAATCTATTTTATAAATCACGATAAAAATTGTAATTTTTCATATACTATATAATAATAAAAATTATGATTTTTTTTATATTATACGACTATATACAGTTATAATCAAAATTTTTAATAATTCATTATCAATCAAAGTGTAAAAAAGACAATAAATATCATTAAACATACAATTACAGATTTGGATTTATTTTTATAACTTTTGTTGGAATGATGTAATCTTACCTCGGCGATCCGTTGCAAGGCGATCTCGCTGGCGACACACCGCCTAACATCTTTCTTCTAGCCTCTTTCTTAGCCTTCTTTAGGGCTCGTTTCGCTGCCTTCGCGCTAGCATCCTTCACCACACCACCTTGTTTCTGAGGATCTACTTGTTCCTGCCCATCTTCCTCGCCGTCATAATCATCGCCGAAGGATCTAGGCAGTTCCAGAAGATCTCTCTCTTGTTGAATGTCGTCGGCATCGTCTGTTTCCTGCTCGTACGCATCCGGATCCTGAGGTTTTGCTGGTATTTTGAGAACAGTCCCTTCGCCTTGGGCACCAAACGAGATCTTGATCACCGGTGTAGTCCTGGCGGTCCTTGTAGGATCCTCAAACACCGACTCATCCCAGAGATCCTCCATCGAACCTACCGAACGCTTCTTTCTCGGCACTCTGCCGGTTCTCAGTCTCATCGTGGAGTCTGCAGCCGCAAAGGTTTTCTTATCCTCTTCCTCGGGAATCTTCGCACTTTCCACCGACGAACTACTAAGTCTTCTCGGCGTAGCGCAATAAGCCGTTGAGGGATTATTGTCGCAGTCGACAGTAGACTCTACCCGTTGCTGTGACGACGTGAGTACATTTCTTAAGGACGCTTCCTCTTCGTTTCTGACAGGCCAATGCGAAGATTGCGCGCTCGCCGCGACCTTCACCTTATCTGAAACAATCGTCCAGTCTTCAATACAAATCCACATCAGACTATTGATTGACTATTGATCAGTCTGCTTAAAGATTTAATAGTCCAGATTCAATAGTCCAGAACATTTTCTAACTTTCAAGCGTTTATTTTATTTTGAAGATAAATCTCAAACTATTTTTAAAAAAATATATGTTACTATTAAAAAAGTAGAATAAAAAATAAAATGCAAAGAGCTAAAAACGTTTTAAACTAAAAACATTTTAAATCATAATATAATACATATTGTATAACATAATATTGATAAATTTATAAAGTTAAATTCTTATCTTTTATTGCTTTATATGTATTTAAATTTATTTAATCCACTTAAAAAAAGATTATAAAACTTGTAGCAATATATACAAAACATTACAAAAAATTTAATTCTCAACAATAAGATTTGGACTTTGTTACCATTTATATAACTTATAACTACTTATAACTTATAACTGGTTTTAGTTTTAATTCTTGCGCATATTTTAATATAGTATGCTAGACATCGCATGAAATATACTAATATTAAATCATTAGAAAAATAAAATACATCGTAGAAGCAAATTATTCATTAAAGACAACTCAGATTAAAGTAAATCTAAGTTGATTGTATAGTTAAAATGTTTTCGCTCAAAGTTAACACACAGTATGAATCAAAATCAATATTAATACATGTAATTTCTTTTAGAGTATTCTTAAATTTTCACTAATGATATATCAATATAGTAGTTTCGTCGAAAGTAGATAAAAAATAACATACCAGGTAACTGTCCAGATCCCTGCACCGTGTTGATCTGATTGGGCTGCAGTCTCGACAGTTTCGGAATCAGCGTCGCTCCTAGCTTCGATGAATCGGTCGAACTTGTCGTCTTCGTCGTTGCTTGATTAGAGAACGTGCTTTCCGTCCGGCATTCCGACAACAGCGTTCGCTGAGTCTTTTGCGGTTGCTGACCGCAACGTCGGTCGCTTCTTCTCGTAGACCCCGGGATCAGCTAGTAAAAAATAGTTACTTTTCTGACGATTCGAACCAAAAATTTACTAAACATGCTTCTACATGGATGGACGAGTTTAAATAAGAAAAAAAAAAAAAAAAAAAAAAAAAATAAATACAGACTCTTATCGGACGCTTCTTTATCAGAAGAATTGGTGTGGCGTACATTATCATTATTTTTATCGATACCAACGATTACAGGTCTCTCTTAAAGCGTAAATTTTATATTTACGACTTCTACTCAATCTTTCAATTTGTAAATTGTTGTAATTTTTTTTTTCAGTCTGGCGAATTCTTGGAAAATTCCGTAGAAGGAAATGTTCGACGAAACGTCTTAGACGTCTATATATAATCCCAAGCAACTATCGCGCGCGCGAGATACTTGCTGCGATAGCTATACCTGTTGCGATTGCTGTTGCTGCTGCACGTCCTCATGCTTCCGCTTCCTGCTGACGTCAACGTTCTCGCTATTCTCGTTGCAGATCGACCGACACTTGCTGCAGAGCACCTGGCGAGGCCTTAATCTCACCGTAGGCCTCGCGTTCTTGTACCTAGCGGGCGGATTGATGCTCCTACGGAGGTCGACCTTGGCGACAACGGTGGTCGCCGACGACAACGACGCGTTCTTCTTCTCCTGAAAGTAGCTGAATCGCGCCGCGATCGTCGCCAATTTGTCGCCATCGGGATCCGACACCGGTTCCGGTGGCTGAACACCACAGGGAAGGCCCCTACGGGAACATAATTCGTATCCGCGAATCTTGTAACTAACATTCCAGAATCGCGTTTAAAAATGTTCGAAGCGGTCACGCCCTATCGACGTATATCGTATATTTTTATTCTCCATTTCTTTCCTGAATTCGAGATCCGCCGTTACAACAGGCGCGCCGCTACCTTGGAAAATTTGTCGAGACTGTGTTTGGCTACTTGATTAGCTTCCTATACTCTCGTATACGTGGCAGTAGATTCATCTAAGTCATCTTACATAAGTGGGATCAATAAACACGAGAGAATTAGAGATTTTTTTTCTCGTTCCTTCATAAGAGATACTCGATGTGATGCTATTTTCGATTTCTCTCGATTCTTCTCGATCATTTCGGAAATATTTAAGATTTACTTTCCCTCACTCTCAGAGAAAGCTTTCTATGATTGGTACAGAGAGAGAGAGAGAGAGAGAGAGAGAGAGAGAGAGAGAGGAAGTAG